TATAAATGCTTTGTTTACATTTTGAGTTTTATTTTAGTTGATCATTGACTTGCTTTGAATGTACCGAACTTTAAAAAAGTCTTAGTAATTTCCTATGATCTAAACTTTAATATCAAATCAGAGTTTTCCTAACAAATATTAGTTTTCTGTGAATATTTTCCTCCGTTTCCAACGTTAATAGGCCATTGAACATGATTCAACCAATTACCTATTTTAAAAATCCCAATCCTTAACTGGATTTTTAAAGTAATCACAATTCTTTAATGTCTAAGCATGTTATATTGGCAATTTGTGTTATTTTATTAGTACTAAATACTAGAGCAGTTAAGATCAACGATTCTTTAATGTCACGCTTTCAATAATGTATTGAAACTATAAGAAAAAGTAAGAACTGCTGCTTTTATTAAAATCAATATTCATATTGAAAACACGTTTTAATTAAAACATTTAATCAGCATCTTTCATTCAGCCACACTGAACGCGTCTGTCTACTAGAAAAACAACGTACAGATCGATATTAAGTCCAGACTTTATGTTATTTCATGTCGAAATTGTGTTTTCTATTGTTAATGTAACCTTGTTTAATGCTGTTACTTTACTCTTTTCTGTTTTACCGTTGCGTCAATCTTCTTCTTTTTTATGTTCCACTTGATGTCTGGAATTTAATTTCCCCTTTTTTCACTGTTTATATTACTTGAATGTTTATGTTCGGGAAAGAAAAATATATAAACATTGCTTTAAATTATTGGTGTGACTATGCCGTTTGAACCTATTTAAATCTAAAAATATTTTGCAGTGTCTAAATCTGTGACCTTAACCTTTCCTCGGGGACCCTATGCAGTTTTCTGTTTTCAAGTGCACTAGACACAAATGTTTTTCAGATTGCAAAAAAAACGTCAATAAAGAAAGCCCTTAAAAAAAGATACTTTTTAAACTAAAAATACTCATTAACAATATTTTAAAGCTCAGTAACACGTTACTTTAATGAAACGTATTTTCTAGTATGAATATGAACAGACTAGAACTTAATGGTTATTGGCTTCTTTTTAATTGATAATCACTTAATCATCAAACATGTATAAAGTTTTGAAACGGCTATTTGTGAGATAATACTAATAGACTTATTTCAGTGTAACGTTTCGTCTCTAAGAGTACTCCATTAGTATTTCCCACAAATATCTGATTCAAAACTTTGTTAATGATTATTAAGCTATTCGGATTACTTACATTTCCTGACGTCACCTCAATTCTTATAAGACTACAATTATTTTTTCTCCAAGGTGATTACTACTAGATATAAATCTTTACATAAGTTTTTAAATGTTTTGTTCACAAAATATATATTGGATGGATAGGTGTATGGACGGCACAGCTGGAAACGAGAGTTACTAATCCAAACAATGCCAGAATAAAAAACGGAAGTAAACAGAATTCTTCAATAAATCAATTGCTTTTGTTCTAAGTCTTGGGAAGATAACACAAACGGGTAAAATAGTTTTCAAACTTACTGCAAGTTTTCAAACTTACTAAATAACTTTCTAATCTCCCTGAAAACCAAACATTTTAAGCTCACAAATTAAGAAATCATATAAGAAATTAAAATGAAAGCCTATACATATATATATATATATTCTGTATACCTAATTGGGTACTTGTTTACCGGCGTGACGAGCCAAGATCGATTCTCTATAGGTCTAACTCACAAGTATTTAAATAACAAATGTAGATATGTATTATGTATATATATATATATATATATATATATCAGAGAGAGACAGTTAAACAAACACACATCCCACCTATAATAATGCATGTTAAATCACGAAACAGCATAAAGGGATCTCAGAAACTTCATATAATTAATGAAACGGGATATCAAGATGAGTGAAATTCTCAACAACTTTATACGATATCAAGATGAGTGAAATTCTCAACTATTTTATACGGTATCAAGATGAGTGGAACTCTCAACTACTTTATACGGTATCAAGAAGAGTGAAATTCTCAACAACTTTATACGAGTATACAAGATAGAGT